CCCCTCCCGACCACACCCCCAAAAAATGGCGTAAAAGGGGGGGGGCATCCCAAAAAAAAAACGGAGGGAAGGGGGGGTCACGCGAAATATTTTAGTTCATGTAGAGTTGACATGATGTTTTATTACTAAATAAAACTACATATACAGAAACAAGCAAAAGGTATATAAATGTATCAAAAACTTTTGTGCTGCGTTTACATGACAGCGTTCAGTTCCACGACAACAATTTTCAAAGCTAGGAAACTATCATTAAAAGATTCTTTTATCAGGTTAGTGCTGTGCAACGTCTCTCTGCTCATGTTCCTCTTCGTCATCATTGCCAAGCTCTTCCTCATCGCTCGTGCTGCTGCTAGATCAGTCGCTTTCGTCGTTTTCAGTCATAGCATACTCTTCAGGGTACATGAAGCAGTACACGTTGTCTCTAACCTCCGGCTTGAGGTTTGTGATAATTCTGCTTCCTGCGGCGTTGCTGAAATGGTTTCCTTGCAAGAGCTGTGCAATGTTTGCTGCATCTCCATCAAAAAGCAATTCGGAAACTTTCTCCACGTCAATGCACCCTTCAGGGACGGCAAGGCGAGGAGGATACAGAAGACATTTCGGAAGATCATTACCCAGCGGGTTTCCGACACAAATACTATACACTCATTAGACGTTGTTTTCAAACCTTTTCGTTTTTCTTGCATTCGATTTTCGACGGTTTTCCTTTTTTCGTCTTCCCTTGCTGATGCGGTCTCTATGTAGGCCCTTGATGATGCTACGAAAACTGTCTTTACTTTCTTCTAGTGTCTCTGTATCCTGCGTTACCTTTTGCACCTTAGCCTCAACGCACTTGATCTGCTTTAAATTGAAGTCGTGAGCAAATTCTTCTCCTTGCTTCAAGATAAGTCCATTAGACTGGAAAAGCGTAGAATCATGTTCTTTCAAGGCCTTCACTACGCTTTTCAGTTTCCCAAGCATACTTTGGTGCTCTTTAATTGAAGAGTTCAATCTCCTGCCATCACTGGGCTTCAGCTGATATCCTGGCTTGAGAAATTCACATGCCCTTTTCGAGCAGCCTTCTGCATTTTGGTCGGCAGCCTCTTTTGATTGCAAAAGATCAAATTGCCGCGATCTTTCGGCAGTGAACCTATTCTTGAAAGACTGGTCGCTTTCGCCATTCGTTCTCATTTTGATTGTTTTTTTGCAACGGACCAATATCAAACCACACCATTTTTGATCCTCCAAACAAACCATCATGGATCATAAACGCTTACCAAATCAAGCAATACGGAATGGTTCAGAATTCACCTAAACCATCCCACCACTTAGCTACTGATGAGAATCGTAAGACTTATATTTAACTGCAGACGTTATGTAGTGGCACAAAGAAACCAGTCAACTGATTGGTAAAAAAACATGCTAATAGTATTGAAAAATATCGAGCTTTAAAATACTCTCCTCTGATATTAAAACTACTAGTCACATTTACAAAGCGATTGAGTTTCAAAGCGACATTCAAAGGACACAGCATCATAATGTATTTAAAGCACGCTTCTACTAAAGACGTGATAAATACACAAAACCAATGTCAGATCTGGATACATTTAAAGACTATGTGCTGCATGCGTACAGCTCAACATTGTTCTCTGAGATCGCGTAAACCTAAACTTTACGGAGATATTAAAAGCAGATACCCTAAGATTACAGCAGCTATGGAAGAATTATTATATTTTGAGTAGACAAATCTCATAAACGGGCTACAAATTCAACAGGAATACACGCGAACTGAATAAATTGTCTGCTGTACATTTTAAAGGTTCTGCTCAACTTACACAATTTTCCCTTGCTGAACATAAACTGTACCGAGCCGTATCTTGGTCTGCTATATAGAAGCTATATCATCGTTCAAATTTCAAACTGTAAGATCCCTGAAAGAGTTCTCCTCAATGGAGCAATATGTAAAAGGTTTTCAAAGGTTTCACGCCGGTGAAGATGTGCGGCCTGTCACCTCTTGCAAGTTTTTAATTCCATCAACTCTGGGGGTGAAGATGTCATCCTTGCCTTTATCGATGACGAGGAAGAAGTTGAGAGGCCAGCAACGACACGCTCTGGAAGATCCATAAATGGAAGATCGGAAATTGACTTTTTGAAAAATAGTGAAGAAGTGCCTTAGCAAATGGACAGAATTTATTTTTTGAATTAACAGAAGTGGCTGCTACATCTGTAGAATGAGTTGTCAACAGCTTTACATTGAAGTGAAAATACAAATCATATTGTACACTGCAAATATATGCTTGTCAGGTTTAATTATGATAATGTCTCTTTTGAAGCGGGGGGGGGGGGGTCACCCAAAAAAATGACTGTCTTTGGGGTGGGGCCATGGTAATTCGTAATGACTGACTCTGGGACCTCTTGGTTAGATATTCGTATAAGGTTGGCAGTCGAGAGGCGGACGCGAGTGCGAAGAACAGTTTAATATTTTCAGGGGATTTTCTGTAACGCCGCCGATAAGTCACTCCTCCTGGTCACTCATTTGCTTGTTATGTCAGTTGAAAAGTTAAGTATTTTGGAAAGGTAGAGAACGTTTAAGGGGAGATTCAACGGGGAGGCAATGTTCTTCCATTTTCGCAGCACTGTCGTTCCATGAGCCTAACTAGCAGGGGCACCCAACGAGGATATAGTTCAAAACCACTTAACATAGCATTTTTGAACGTATTTTAGTATTTAAAGGGTAGATATAGGCATATTTTTATCCCCTAAAAACTTTTCATCTGTTCGGATTTCCTAGCTGAAAGTCTAGTGATCCGAAAATTATAGGGATCAAAACTTACCTTTTCGAAAATTGCAGGCAGGAAAAGGCTCCCGAAAATTCTAGGTGGCCTTTTTTAGGGTAAATATCCGTTTAAAATGGGTAATAGTCCAGTTTCGAATTAAAAATTACCGCTGAATGCAAACATTAACGACACATTCATACAGGGTTAGCCTCGACGTAAAGTAAAATATTCAGAAATTCTGGCAAGTAAGTGTTTGAAATTTGAATATACACAATAGACAGAGTAATAAACAGGTCTTTTTCTCGTTGGAATTTGTGAACATATTACTTCAGATGGAGGCTAAGGCTGTAAAAAATGCGTCGTCACTTCTTTAATTCAGCGGTCATAGCGAACTCGAAAATGGACTATTATACCATTTTGTTGATGTTCGTAAATCCTAGGAGAGTCAGGCAAGCAAGAAATTTTACAACAAATGTTCCGAAAATTCTAGTTCTCAAATCGTCTTCCGAACAGATATTTTCCCCGAAAATTGCCGTTGGGTGCCCCTGAACTAGTTTTATCAGCCGTGGATCATTGTGGGTGACGAACACAGTCGATGAAATATTGTCACGAGGAGACAATTAGTTTCAAAGCGCCCTAAACAATCAACTCAGCGGAATCGTTTTTAGCAGATAACCTTCCTGTTGTAGTTTACTACTTTTTCTAAGGAGGTTAATGGAGCAAGGAGACGAACAAACAGAATTACAATTGAGGTCATAATTTGCCTTGGCAAAGAGGCGAATCAGAATGAAACAAGCGATTTGCTCACCGAGGTGGGCAAACTGAATTATGGTTTTCCTGTTCTTTGAAAATGCTTATTTGTATTGATTTCATGAAATAAAAAAAATAAAAAAACGGAATACAACAGAAACAAATATGTACAGTTCAGCTACAATTCACTAATTAAAATCGAAGATGCTTTCTGAAACCTTTCCTTTAAATATGGTAACAATCCAAACCGATTCTGAGTATGCATTTTATATACAACCTTTCATTATACAGCGTTTATTTTAAAAACATACCAATAATATGTTAGTAAGATATATAAATGCTTGTTGTTATTGATTAGAGCCCAAAAGTGAACTGACAGCATTTTGGTTTTGGTTTCATTTATGTGATCGGTTGGTTTCCCGCATCATTTTGGTTTTGGTTTTGGTTTTGGTTTTGGTTAGGGAAAGCTGTCAGTTCACTTTTGCGCTCTAAAATCTTTGGGAATTCATTGCTTGCATTCTGCTCTATGTTTGTTTTTATTTGAAACTAATTCTAAGAATAAGCAGGTTCCGAATTATAGTCACACATAAGGATAAAGCTGAAGATAAAAACAAACTTAAAAAATGCAACATAGTTCAACTATGTATTTTGTACAATATAGTCTCCCTTTTGTCTCGTCACGCAACGCTCCTAGCTTTGCGTGACGAGACCAAAACGGCTGAGAGGGAGACAACAATTTACTTTCTCCTTTTTTAGTCTTACAACCTTGAAGACCCTTTGATATCCTAAACTGAGATAGAATAGATTATTTACTACCGTTCCAACCCCTTGATCTTTCTCCAAGGGGCCGCACTTCACTTCCAAAATAGAACATCTGAATCATTATTGGCATTAAAAGGAAACGAAAATGAAGAAATGATCGTCACAGTGAACGCAATTTATGCAACTGCGTAAAGAAACCTGAAAAAAATTCAGGACTTCACGGGGGTTTGAACCCGTGACCTCGCGATACCGGTGCGATGCTCTACCAACTGAGCTATGAAGCCACTGACGTTGGGAGCAGGTCAATTGTGGGTTCATATGTTCCCGTGAAAGAAATGAGTATTTCATATATCATTAACATTAAAAGGAAATGTGTTGACACTGTAGTAGGCTTGGAAATATTAGCAGGGTTTTCATCTGGTCGGCGACGTTCGTTGAAAAGGTCTTAAAAGAAGCTGTTTCGGCACGAAAATAGAGCGTATTCACTCACGTGGCATTTATGCTGATTTCTAGGACAAAAGAAAGTTTTTACATAAGAAGAGTTTAATTCCCGAAGGGTTTCTTGGTACACCAACATGGCCGCCGTTTCATTGTGTAACGAAAGGAAATTTCACTGCGTCAAGCAGCTTTTCGGTCTGTCAAACCAAATTGGCGGGAAAGTCGAACTAGGAAAACAACGGAACTAAAGCTCTTCGCGAGGGCGCGAGAATTAGCAAATAGTGATCTGCTAATGGAAGTTATTGACGGGGGAAACTGCAATTTGGTAGAGCGACTGGCTCGCTGCTGGCACTCGTTACTACTGCCAGAGGTACAGCGTCTAATTTCCACGTCCCAAGGTACGAAGGTTGGACAAAAACTGAAACTTTTGTGTAATGCTGAAACTTCTTTATTGTAGAGTAAACCTCGTAGAAAGTACTACACATGTAATCGTAGGTAATCATCGCAGGTAATCGCGGGCTAGATAATCATGGGCTAGGTAATCGCATGTTAGGTAATCAATTTACAGCAGTTTAAGCACTACTTTTATACAGTCTACAGTAAACACAGGTGTTCGATTATCACTAAGGAACACAAAAACCTATTCAAAAATACACGTGCTAGCTGGTCAACGCGTTACAATTCGATTGGTTAAAATACTTTTCCTTTGTGGTGAAAATACAATACTTCCTATTTCGGTTCCTGGACTTATAGAAAAACACATGTAAATCAAGCTGAATGAATAGAGCACAACAGTTGTTCCTTTGAATTGTAAAATAGTTCTTGTCTAACAAAGAGACACGTAAAGAAGTACACGTGTTCTATTGAAATTACTTGTCAGATGTTCCAATATTTGTGCACATGTCACTGCCTGCTGTTTTGCACTTGAATAATACGCTCATTTCAGCTGCGGAGTTTTAGAAAGATATGAAAGAGTTAAAACTAGATTTGCTGAGTAGTGCAGAATCGCTACAATAACGCTCCGATGAAACTGAATTCTGTTCCAAAGATAACATTGAAATATTGGCTGTGACACTCCCCTCCTTTAATTGAAAGCCTCCTGGCTTTCGGAAAACTAAGATAAACAATGGAAAATCCTACGTATGTAACAATTATATTGAAATAAAATGGGTGGTAAATATTGGATTGATTTCTTCGTGCTATGTTTCGATCTAGATAACTATTGGGAATAACTACCGGAAATGCATGCTTGGGGCATATACACGTTATCAGGGAAGGGAAAATTGTAAACCGATAATTAATTAAATCTGTTCTCTACTGGCGGGTATTTCGTCTTGATAGTTGGTATTGGCTTTCATGGATCTCGGTGTGGAATGTTCTTTTCTTCCTGAAGTTCTGGCAGCTTGAGGGATTGTGCGAAAATTATTCTGGAGTCTTTCAGGCGGACTGGAGTGAGAAGAGACT